TGAAAAACAGACTGTGTTTGCTGTGGGTTTTGTTATTTGCATCGTCTGGAGCCAGGTCAGAGAAGCCACCGTCCACGTGCCGCCTTCGTTCTCGGGTCAAGGGAGTCCCACCGCAGCAGGCAGACCCAGAATCCACTTCCAGGGGGAGGTGCTGAAAATGTTCCAGGCCGGAATTTACTTGGGGCCTTGTCCCAGGTAAAAGATGTTACTATCAGTGTCAGTTACAGGTCCTAAAGGGGAGAGGAGGAAAAACCTGGAACTGGATTTCTTTGCCCACTGGCTCCGGGGTAGAGTTCAGAGGGGGGAGGAGAAAAAACGTGGAACTGCTTTTATGTGCCCACCTGGAATGGCTCTGGGTAGAGTTCCAAGAAGACCCTGGAGCTGGATCTCCGTGCCCATCCGGAATGGCTCTGGGGAGAGTGGGGGGAGGGAGCAGAAGGGAAGAAGTAGAACTTGGAACTGGCTTCCCACCTGGCCTGAATTCCGGGTGTTCCCCCGTCCTGGGGGAGCACTGTTGCACGGGGGAATGGACGCAGAGGGGTACATTCTCCACTTTCGTCCTTGCCTTTCTCTGGGGGATCTTGCAGTTGGTAGACAAGCACCAAGGAGCCTCTGCGGAGGTCTGGGCCAGGCAGAGGGGCGACTTCCCAGCAGATGGATTATAACGGTTGCCTCTGCAAAAGAAAGCGAAAGGGTTAATGCGTCGGCAGGGAAAGGGTTAACCCATTGCTTGGGGGGGGGGGCGCTCTCCAATGGTGCAATGGTTAATCTGCTTGAATTCCACGCGGGGAATAGGATGGCACAAGGCAGAGGCAGTCAGAGCAGCTGCTCACAGCTGGAGGATTCCCTGGGCTCACCCTGCGGCTGGCACTGCTCACCCACGCGGGCACGGAGCAAAAGGACAGCCTGCTCCAGTCAGGCTGCCGGCCTGTCGCTGCAGCCAGTCAGCACCACAGAGAGAGAAGCCACCACCGGGAGGCAGCAACACTCATCTCCCAGCAACCTGCCCTCTTCCGGGTCCCTGCTAGCCATCTGCTGGCTTGTGGGAAGCCATTCCTCCATCACCTCCCTTCCCCTTCCAATCCCTCAGAGAAAGGGACACAGGTACCCCTCTCTTCCCCCCCGCCCTGGCTGCTGTCCTGCCCTGCCCGCGCTGGGGCAGGGTCCTCTTTGCTCCAGAGAACTGCCCTACCTAGCTTGACCCTTCAGCCTCAGCTAGGCCGCTTCAGCTTACCAAATCTGCTGGCGGGAGCCATGCGTCCACAGGGTGCCGTACATTCCCCTGGGGTCCCTGGGCATCAGCAAGGCACACGGGTGCTCAGAGCAGCTACCAGATCCATCTGTACATTTCCCCCCCCTCAGCAGCCAGCTGGTGATGACCCGACTGGATTACAAACGACAGCTGGGCCTGGCCCAATCACCCTCCCCCCGCTCAACACTCAAACCCCAAACTGTGGGCATGTTTCCAATCCGGAGCCGGGCTGCGCAGCCCGGTCCTTGCCTCTGCTTGCCTGCAGTAAGGTGCACACGCTGCCGCTGGGGAGGCAGGAAGTGCTTTTAGCGCTGATTCAATTAGCAGGCCCTGGCCAGCATTTGGAAGCGAGTTCCTGAGGGAAGACAAAGCCTTTCTCCTTGCTTTGTGGGGAGGTGGCAGGGGCGACCGGCAGCTGCCGCGACTTTCCCCACCTCTTCCCCTCCAAGGCCCCCGCTTCAACTTCTCTTTGTTCCCGGTCTGCGCCTGCCTGTGCTCTGCCTCACTAGCGTAAGCAAACGGCTGTGGCCGCCGGGGGAGCAGGAATCCGCAGGCGGCTCGACTGTCTCTAGGAGCTGGAAGGGAAGTCGGGGGGTGCGTTTCCCCCGCAGGGGAACAGACGTCTGGGACGAGTTGCCAGGGCTGGAGGCCGACAGAGCAGGGTCTATAAATATGCCTCAAAGGGAGCTGTGATTTGGGAGCAGGAGAGAAGGGTGACACAGTCGGGGGGTGCAAAGGCAGCTGGGAGGCCCGGCTGGGTAGGCAGGCCGTCTAGCCCTGAGGCCTGGGTTTCATTCCTCCTCCAGAGCAGGTAACGAGCTCAGCCCCTGGGCTGGGAGGGCGGCAGAGGGGCTGCCGTTGTCTGCCCCGAGTAGAGAAGAGATGGGCTCTTCCTGCAGAGCCCCAGCCACCCCCACTCCCCTCAGCCTGCTGGGAGCAGTGGAGGGGAACACACACCATTGTCAGAGCCGGGAAAGCCAGGAGCAGGGACAGATTCTGGGAGGGGGCCTGGACTCACCTTATGTTTGGGACATTTCAGAGAGAAGTTCTCTTCAGTTAATAAGCAACCTGCCAAGGGAAAGGAGAGCCCAACTTTAGAGGGTGCTGGTGAGCAGCTGTGTCCCCTGCCCCCACCAACCCACCGGCTGAGTGCTCTGAGCTGGGGGTGGTGGTAGAGCTGTGAAACCTTCTCCCAAGCCCGGCTGCTCTCCCCTTTGTCACAGACATTGTCCTGCAGTGGGGAGGACTGAATGGGACTCACTGAAGCGTCCATAATGGCCCCTCCTCCAGCAGCCAGAGGGGCCGGTCCTGGCTGATGGGAAACCCGGGGTATGTTGAAGGCCTCCCACAGCTCGCCCAGGACTCCTCGCCCGGCAGCGCCCACACAGCTCTGCCTCAGCCTGGCCCCTGCTGTTACAGCCTGGCACCAGGCTCAGCTCTTTACCATAACTGCTTACTGCCAGCAACTTCTCTGTGCAAGGGGGTCCTCACTCCCAGGGGTAAACTGAGGCACTGTGTCAGTGGTGTGGCCAGGATGGGACAAGTGGGCGGGCTCTGACTTCTGGTGGGCAGGCACTGATGGGGCCACCTCTCTCCCCCTCCAGCTGGCAAGGAGACAGGGATCAGGGGCTTGCCCCTCTCTGGCTGCTCAGAGCTCCCAACGGGGAGTGGGGTCGGGGCGCTGGGGTTTGCCATGTTCCGGCTGCCTTCTGCTCTTGGCAGCAAGTGAGGTTGGGGCGCCAGCGCTTGCCCCAGCTCAGTTCCTATAACCTCATAGCAGGCTCAGGGGCTTACATGCCCCCAGCAGTTCAGCGGAGCAAGGTTAGCCTCTGACTCCATTCTCCAGGCCCAGCTGGAGTGCCTGGCGCAGAGGGGCAGGAGCAGAGCCAGAGCGGTGTGGGCCTGGATCCAAAGTGGGTGGGCCATAGCCCACCCGTCTATACCCCTGTGCTGCATGTGGTCCTTCAGCTCCCCAGGGAGCGGATGCCAGGGATGGGACCAGAAGCGGCCCCTCAGCCCAGCACCCCACCCTGCCCTTTACCCTCTCACCCCTCATTCCTTCTTATCAGTCTCACCCTGCCTTTGTGCATCGAACCCTCTTCTCCCCCCAGCCTCCAGGAAAGGGGCCGGGTGAGCCCTTTACAGGGCCCCCAACGGGCACCTTGCTGCCTAGGATGAATTTGCGATATGGCAGCAGATTCGGCAATACTGCAACGCTCCTTCCTGCACAAGTCCCTCCGTGGGGAGGAAATCCTCCTTGAAATCTGCAGGACACAGAGGGAGGCTCCAAGACTGGTAAAGGACCCCACGGTGCCACCCTGTGATTGCCTTTAAGACAGGGCCGGTGGGATTTACCAACCCCCCAAATATGGCCCCACCTCTCTGGCACGTGCGCCTGGCAAATGGACACTCCGTGGTCGCAAAATCGATGGCAGGATATAACGTGCTTGCTCCTGGCCCTGTTAAAAAGGCTTTCCCCTTTGCTGGAGACTTTCCAATACAGCTCACCAGTACTGCTGGCCCCGTGAATGAATGGGAGGTACCATTACACCCTGGCATGCGGGGGAAGCTAAAGCCCAGTGAGACAGAGTAACTTGTCCAAGGACACGCAGCAAACCAATGGACGAAGCAGGAACAGAATGCAGGAGACCTGCCTCCCAGCCCCCCCCGCCAGCCTCCATTCTAACTAGGGATGTTAAATATCGGTTAACTGAATAGTCGATTAACCTCAGAATTCTTATTGGTTAGTCAACTATTCTATAGTCTCCAGGCAGCCTCTGTCCAGGGAGGAGGGGTCTGAGCTCCCAGACCCGGCATGTGCCAGAACTAAGCCGGGTTGCCTGCCTAATACACCTTTAAATGCAGAGCCACCGCCTGGGTAGGTCCAGGACCCAGTGCAAGCTGGGACTGAGCTGTGCTGCTGGCCAGCCTGCTAAAAAATGTACTGGCATGGGGAGGGGGGATGCGTGTAGTCTATAGTATTAACCTATACGGTTTTGCGGATGCGTGTAGTCTATAGTATTAACCTACACGGTTTTGCTTATTGATTAATCGACTATACTATTACAACCCTACTTCTACCACATGGTGCCACCCTGGGCGAGATCAGGAACAGGACACAATGCAACCACGTTAGGCCAGCTGTGAAGGAGGGACTAGACTGGTCAGATTTGGTGGTGCACTGGCAGACCTGCTGGGGGAATGCTGGCCCCGCACGAGGGGCTGTGACAGGATTGACGTGTGTGGGGGAGCACATGGAAAGCAGGGCGCAATGCGCGGGTGCCTCTCGTTTATGAGCCCCCAAATCGGAGTATTAGTGCTTGGAAAGAGGAGACCGGAACCAGCCTCACTGGAGGCTTATCCTTCGTCTTGTGCAACTGAATCCTGAGGAGCAAGAAGCGGAGGTCCTTCCTCTCCTAAGCGAGCCTTACCTGTGTCAATGGCACACGCGTAATGGTAGGTTTGGGCACATCCCTTGTGGCACCAGCCAATGGTTGCTCCTGCCTGTTGGCAACTAGGACATCTCTGTAAATCCACCAGTGGGGCAGAGGGGGGGAAAAAGAGAGAGAATCCAGTGAGGTCCAGCGAAATAAATCCCGGAGGCAGCTATGGGGAGTGATCTCCGCAGAGCACAGGAAGGCGGCAGCTCCACATCCCCACCAGACTCAGATCCACCCCATTTGTTCCACAGCCCCCCAAACCCTGGCTGAGTCCAAATAGCGGCACCAAACTCATTCACTTCCTCATGACGGTGATGTGTAACCCTTACTCCGACGGGGGAGCTGCGGACAGAGCATGCTTCCTGTAGGTATATGGCTGGTCCCTGGCACAGCCCCTTTTCTAGCACCCCCAGCTCCTCAATTCTATTCCAGTTACCTCCTTTCCCCCCACACCCACAGGTGAGCCTGTGGAATGGATGTGGCCTGCAACCCTGTCCTCTCCAAAGCCTCGCCCTGGGGTACTGTTCACCACTCCACTTCCACTGACTGGAACCAGAACTGTGAGCCAAAAAACACCTGCCACCAGCCCTGGCTTTGCACACTGGGGGGGGGGAGGGAGCCCTGTGACAACCACTTACGTTCTAAGTGGTGAGTCACTAGCGGGGCATTAGACCAGTGGGTGATGGGAAGGGGCTAATGCAGGGGAGGGCAATAAGCAGCCCGCGGGCTGGACATGGTTTCCAGGGTAACTTCTGGCGCGCTGCCAGACGCTAACCCTGGTGAATCGTGTTCGGCTCACGGGCCGCGTACTGCCCACCTCTAGGCTAGTGCAACTCGACTGTCTGTCAGGGCAACTCCTCCTATTAACATGGGGCAAAACACTTATCCAGTGAATGCCCAATTAACTTCTTTGCTGAATAACGAGTCATAATACTCTGTCCTTCCCAGTGTCTTCCCCCAGAGGATCCCAAAGGGGGTCCCAAATAGCCATTAATCCTCACAACCCTCTTGCAGGCTAGGTCAGCATTGTCCTTTCCATTTTACGGAAGCGCCAACAGGCGCAGTGACCTCTCCAAGGCAGCCCAGTCGAGTCGGGCCTAAGATCCCAGCGCCTCACATGCGCCAGTCTGCAGCTCGTCCTCTGCTGTCTGCCAAACGTCTACGGATTCTGGGCGGGCTCTCTCTGCCCCATTCTGGGAACAGGCGCTGTCCCTTAGAAGGCCTGGCACAACTCCGAGTCTGCGTACAGCACGCAGCATTAACCAGCAGGGCTGGAGGACTGTCCGCCAGGGAATTGCAGGTAGGAGGGTCAGGAGAGAGGGGACACCTTGGCACCGTGCGAGCTGCAAAAGCCCAGAGGGAAGGATGGAAGTGGAGCTTAGCCCAGGAGGGGAAGATGAAAACCCTGGCTCCATGGGGAATTGACTGTTCAATCCACCCTCCTCAGGCTCACTGACCCCAGCTCCTTGGCCTTGCAAGGGGTTCACTGCTTTAGCGTCTCCTTCGGCCATATCCGCTCTCTCACATCATCCCTGCTCTATAGCCGCGCTCGAGGACAGGAATGGCCCTTTGCCTGGTGATTTCATAAAGCAATTTAAATAAGAGCAACGGCACGCTGCAAAACCACAGCAGATCACTTTGGAACAGGCCGTTCTCCCCATGCAGCGATGCCTCTCCCTGCTCAGAGGGCAGAGCTCCTCAGCTGACCTGAATTGGGGCACTTCACGGAAAGCAAGGGAGCTGAGCTGAGGCCCTGGCCCTGATTGCAAACCAGAGGAAGGTCTGGGCACCGCAGGGCTGCTCTCCTTTGCCTGGCGGGTTCTGATAATGAATTAGGACCAGTGCTGTAGCCCCACTGCTGAGCACGGTGCTCCAGACACCCGGAAGAAGGTGCAGAAGAGATCCCAGCCTGGAGAAGCTAAACATCACGATGCTTTTGAGCTTGCCTATCTAGTTTGTGGAACGGCATGCATACGAACGAGGACGCAGGTGTAAACGTGCCTGAGAGCATCAATGGCGCAGCCCGAGGGACACCTTCCCTTTGCAAGAACAATCTAATGTGACATAGCCACCACAAGTACTTGGTGTTTGGGGGCACGGCTGCCACTTTAGTAAAACCATGGCTCTCTGGACTTTCAGCTGAACAAGGGCCGCTAGTCTGACCTTCCACATAACCCAGAGCCAGGCAACATCACCCACCATCCCCTGCATCACCTTTTGGTGGGGCTGGAAAAGGGTTTTAAAAAGCATGCAGTCTCAACCAAAGACTCCAAGCAATGAAGAACCTTCACATTCCCTAGGTAAATTGTCCCGGGGGTTAATTATCCTCATAGTGCATCTCTTTTGGCACAGAAAAGGAAAGGGGCAGAGGTCTAGAAGAAGGGTCTCTTTCCCCCTTTACCCTGTCTGTTTCTAGCTAGTACAGCACCTCTGAGACGCAAGCCACGCTGGAGTGACTTGCTTCCAGCAGACCTCAGAACCCCCTTGGGTGCTGTGTCTCCACAATGTTATGGAATTTAATTTAAGGCCAAAACAGGCATCTTGGGTGGGAGTTTTGAGGCACAGAAGTCTCCCTGAAAGTCAATGGGACTTGTGCAGACACATCACTTGGATGCTTTTGAGAACCTCTAGCCTCTTGTTTTCAGCTTCTGCCCCGGCCTGGGGCGTGGTTCCAGGACGCCTCTTGCCAGACAAACCCCAATCTATGCCAATGCCTTATTTTTAATTTCCTGGGAGCAATATTTCTTAAGACAATTGGCAGGTTTTCATTGTTGCTCCTCAGGCTTTTTATTAACGCACCGTTAAGCCTTGCCGTCTAACTGCACCCATGGTGCTGCTGCTTAGTGTGTGCGCAACAGCTCGGGAACCACATGGGGGCAAGGGCAGGGCGGTATGGGAAAATGCAGATGGGATACGGGCGATGGAATAAACAGAGCCCAGACACACCTTGCTGAGGCTCTGGGGCACACCGGGAATGGAACTAGAGCAGTGGAGGCTGGCGAGGGGAAGGTGCCAAGGTGCCACCTGGAACCAGTCGACAGCGGCAAATAAGGATCATGTGTCGGACTCAAAACAAGATGTATATTGACTCTGCTGCCCAAAGTTAGACTCCGTTGGTGAATGTTTAAATCCCCTTTTCCTGACACCTTCCTCCTCTATTTAGTAACCCTGTGCAAAGTCTGGGGATGTCAAGGAAAGCTCAATACAGGGCCAAACCTTGCAGTCTTTACCAGACGGCATTCCCACTGGAGTTGGCAGGATGTGGCCCCAAATGAATACTAATGACACACAGCTGCTCATTAATTGGTGTTCCGGTTTCCAACGGCTTCCCCCTGGAGGGCACGTGGTGTTTGGGTGGTGAAAGTGGCCCTGTGGGCTTTTTTTAATTGCTCAGTTCGACGGTCGGCTGCGTTCCATTGGGATAGCTAGAGAATGGGCTGGATTTGGGGTGAGCATCGCGTGCTCAGAACAGGAACAAGTCACGGGGTAACCCGGTGAAAATGCCCTGACCTGCGAGATACGAGTGATCTACTTTTCGGGCCTTAACATTTTATGAGTCCCCGAGAAGGTCCTTCAACCAACCGTCAACCCCATATCAGAGCACCCGTTCCACGGGGGTCTATTAACAGTCCTGGCAGCTGCCCACATCCGCCTGCACAGGTTGCACCCCACATCTGCGCCTGGCCGCTGTGTTGTGGGTCTAGCTGCCCAACTGCAAAGCAGACGTGATCTCTGCAGGAACGTTAAGAGAGGCCCTTTGGAAGGCCGGCACGAGGCCCTTCTGGCCTTCCTTGTTTGTCCTGCTCTCAAACAGGAGGCCACCCAGAGCAGGGTCATTTAGGAAGACCTTGCCTTGCCAGGGTGGGGCACTAGCTCTCCCAAGGGGCTGGTCAGGTCAGGTGCAATGCCCCCTTTGTTCCAGCTGAGGGGGCTCCACCTCCTTCCAGAAGCCTGGCTTGGAAACCTGAGCCAGCCTCTCCGACAGCCCCATGCACACTGGAATTCCCTTCCTAGAGTGGCCTCCTCAAGGGCTACACCTCAACTCCCTGGCAGGGACTGCAAAGAATGTGGTTAGACTTGTTTGGAGGATATAAACCTTATGTCTTATGACAAGGCTCCCACCCCATCCCCCTCCCTGCTCCCATCACAGCTGGGGGTTTGACCTGCCCTCTCTGATCTGGGTGATCCCGGACTTTTGCCAACAGAGGCGGGCGCGCTGGGCGGGTGAGCGGGCGTGTGCATGCCAAATGGCTTTTTAGCCTAAGGAGAGGCTCTTACCACTTCAGCCGCCGCCTTTATTGCCTCCTGTAGCCCATACAGCTTCCCTGCAACCAGGTAAACCCCAGCAGTCCATATGGCACAGGCTTCGTGAACCCAATGCTCCTGCGTGTCGCCCACCGGCTCCTGAGACAGGGACTCCGCTTTGCTGCACTCGTGCCGCCTGGGTTTCTCTGCCGCCTCCTCTCCCTCTGTCCTCTCATCACAGCAGTAACAGCTTTGTAGTTTCCTAAACATCCCCCTGGAACTCGACCGGAGAGCGCTCTGTTTCGCTGAGTCAGCGCCACTGTCCAGCCTTGGCGGCTTTCCACTGATTGTACTCGTTGTACAATTATTATCTGTCGTTTTGAGCGCTTTCTCCGCTGGCGAAGACACGGGAGCCTCTTCGCTCGGCCCCTCCACTTTAATCTTTTCTTTCAGCCTCGATTTCTTCTTCGGCAGGCAGTGCTCCGGGTAATACGGCCCGCAGAGATCCCCAAGGTCTTTGTAATTGGCAGGGTTCCGGCAGAGGCAGCAGACCAGACAGGCTGCGTTGAGGGCCTTGGATACCACCGGGCCCAGGTGCATTGTGGAAGATAAAGGCAGCGCCGCTCTGGGCTGCAGCGAGGCGCTTCCGGGAAGCAGGGCCTGAGCTGAGGACGACGGCTGGTGCTCCTTATGGAGCCGGGCCTCCTCCCCGGCGGAGTTGATGACGGTGCAGGTGGTGGTGAACTCGTTGCGCTTCTCCACCCGCACGTAGGGGGAGAAGGGCGGCGCTCGGCTATCTGTCCGCAGCCGCTTGCACGAGATGTACTTGAGCCTGATTTCGGGCTCTGCAGGGTTAAGCAGAGGGGCCTGCTGCTGCCGCCGCCGCTTCGCCCGGCTTTTACACCTCGAGGCCACGTTCTTGGCCTTCCGTTTCCTTTGTCTCTTGGAGTAGCCGTTGTAGTTGGAGTGGTTCGTGCGCTGCTTCTGGGCCCGGGTTTGGGCCTGGGAGCTTTTCCCCTCGAGGGGTTCATTCTTGGCAAAGTCTTTGTCCTCGGTCTTTGGCTTCTTCCCATCCCTTTGTCCGTCGTCCCCATTCCCCAGTGCGTCCCCCGCGCCTGCCCTCTCTCTGGCTGTCAGGAGCAGAGCGGGGGCCAGATGCGCACGCCTGTCCAATGGGTTTTTGGCCACGCTGAGGGCTGCTGCTTTCCCTTTTCGGTTTCTCTTCTTGGGCAGCAGGCTGATGCTCTTTGCAGGCATGCTGCCGCTGTTGTGCTGCACTGTCTCGGGAGATGAATAGGCCTCACCCTTGAAACAGTCAGAGGACAGTTTCTTACTGTTCATTAGTTTTCCTTTTAAGGATCTGTTGTTCGAATTTCTGCATAATTGCTCTGCTACTGAAACGGCAGGAGCCTTTTGTGCCATGCCCTGGTTTAATGGCCCTTCTTCTCCCACCACCGGGGTTACACTTGCATTCTTGAAGGCCCGCTCCTCCAAGCCAGCAGGGCTCAGAGGATTACTGTGTGCAGTAGCAGCGGCGGCGGCAGCAGCGGCAGCGGCAGTCTTACATGCAAACTTCTTTAAATTCGGTGAGGTGATCTTCTGAACAATGGCCTCCAGCTTGAGGCCCCGGCCTTTCCTTGGGGGCAGCACTTTTGTCTTCATGGCCCCCTGAAATGCTGCCCGAGAGGTGATTTTAATACAGACGTTGGGGGGTTCTTTAGAAGGAGGGGGCTTCAAGGCTGCCTCGCAGGAGCTCTTTGTGGGTAGTTTAGCTCTCGCCTTTTTGGCTGACGGCATCCTTTTAAAGAGATTGGGGGAGGCTTCGGGCTTCTCCTCTTTTGTGCTGCTGCTGTTGCTCCTTAAAACCAAATTTCTCTTTTTGGTAGGGATAGGGGACATGAAGGTGGATTTCCTCTTCAGCGAATGCAGAGGCCGCTCAGACATTTTGCTACCCATTCCGGGCCCGGATTTGGGGAGTTTGATTCTTTTGCCCACTTTCCCTTCTTTGTGAGGCCCCCCCGGGGACATGATCTTGAAGGTGGGGGGCAGATGGTTATTTGAAAGGAGCTTCTTAGGTGCGTTACAGTTTTTGAGCCTGACCTCTGCTGTCCTCTTCTCCCTTCTCCTTTTCATGTAGGAGACCTCCTGTGTCTTGGTCCTAGATCGCAGGATCATGGATCTCTGATCCTTCACCTCTGCATCTTGGGGATCCAGGCCTTTAGCTTTTTGGCTAATAAAGTCCTCATTCTGCATCAAGTCTGGGACCAGGAGAGAAGTGGGGTCACCAGAATTCTGGACAACTTTTGGGGACAGTCTTCCAGTGCGTTTCCTGGCTTTGAAAGCAACTTTCTGCTTCATGCCACAAACTGGTTTCTTCCCTAACTTTTCTTGATGGGCCAACACCTTCAATCCTTCCAGTGGGGCTGGTGTCCTGGGCTCACTCAAGGCAGTGAACGAGCGGGTACACATTCGAGCTGGCAAGCCTTCCGCTGGAAATCTAGGAGTCTGGCCATGGGCATTTTTGCTTGTTGCTTCCATCTGGCCATCTGGCCCCGCACATGTGCTGGCCACCATGCCAGCTGCCTGGATGTCTTTGAACGGGCTTGGTACTAGTTTGCTGGATTCCTCTCCTTCTGACAATGTGGGATGGACCCTCTTGCTGCGAAGACTCTTGCCCCTCGAGACAGACTCTGATTTTGCCAGTAAATCTTCCGGTAGGATTTGCGTCTTTACCTTGACCAACGAGGCCGTTTCTGTCTCTGTCTTCTCCTGGAGGTCATTTTCCCCCACTGCTGTGTCTTCAGGTTTTATGTGAGGCAAAGAAGATTCAAACCAACTTTTCACCTTGGTTTCAGTACCGACTGCAGGGCCTAAGAGGATAACGGACTGACCAGACAAACGGGAGGAGGGAATGGAATTTTCTTTCTCCACTGTGCATACAGTTTCTTCTGCTGATACCGGCACATCATTGGAGAGGAGCACTGCAGCATTCTCAGGAGGTTTAGGTGAGGATGTATCGTAGATCACAGACTTTTGCTCCGAACTAGCCAGCTCACACAGAGATGAATATTCTTCTGGCTCCAAATCAGACTCCTTCAGATCTGGAGAGGATATTATCGGGATTTCACTGAAGTCCCCACCTGAACAGCAGTGCCTGGTGTCCTCCAGCCACCTCTCACTATCTGCTTTGGTGGCTTCATCATACGTTAAAGTCTCTTCCTCTTCCTCCCCCATCTGCTGCTGGCTGAAGTCCTCTGCTTGTTCATTCTTGGCTGGCTGTTCACCGTCACATATATCCAAGCAGCAGGCATTTTTTTTCTCTTTGCAAGACCCAGCCAATTTGCTATTGAACAAACCCTTGGAAAGATCGGACGTTTGTAGACATGACCCAAGCTCCTTCCACCTAAGGCATGATTCGCTGATGCTTTCCTCTGGCCAGTCAAAATGATCCATGGTGTTTTCAGAACCCACTGAGTTGGCCGTGGTGTTTGAATAGCAGCTGTAGCTGGCAGCCCCAGAACTGGACGTAGCAGCTGGGATGTTGGGTTTGGAATTATATGCCAGAGAACTGGGGACTTTAAGAGCATCCTTTGCCTCAGTTGTTGCGAACTCCACCTGGGGATTTTCATAAACCTCTTCACCGAAATCCTTACTGTTGTTTCCCCCGGAGGCTTTGTCTAATTTCAGGGGTTCGTTGCTGGTGCCCGAGTCACCTTGGTTGGACCATGCGCTCTTGACCATTGAGTCCAGACACGTTCTGTGGTTTTCTAAATGGAAGGGGGATTTTGTGGGGTCTTTGTTTAAAGCAGGGGAGTTGGGCCAGGCTTTGTCAGTCTTCTCATTGATAGCATCCTGAAGCACAATGATTTCGGAAGCCAGTTCCTCCTGAGATAGTGCACTGAGGAGCAGCCTCGGGCACTCCCTTTCATTGGTCATGTACTTGGTGAATGTTTCCAAGGGCAGGTTAGCATGAATGCTCTGGAAAGAATCATCGGACTTCGTGGACATGTCGTCTGGAGACGTCACTGAGCAGGTAGAGACCGACTCGGGCTTGGCCTTGGAGTTGCTGTTGACCCTCGCTGGACTGCGGTTTTGATTGCAAAAGAGGAAATTCCTCTCTAGTTGATCTTCAGACCCACTCATATAATCGGCATCCTGAGCTTCAGCATGTACTGACTGAGGGGTGCTAAGAGGGTCCGATAGGGGAGTCCCTACCTGCTCAGCAGAGTATGTGCTGCTCTCCGGACTGCAGTGTTGGCCTTTTAGCTGTTCTGGGGTCCTAGGAAGGTTTTTGATGCCTTTTTTCTGGGGCACTGTTGATTTTGAGAGGAGAAGTTGCTGCACGGTGTTGGAAATATTCTCCACTTGCGAGGTGAGCGCAGTTAGACTTTGCAAACTGAGATCGGACAGGAGATTTTCAGGGATCTTCTCCTTCTGCAAGTTTTTGCAGTTCCCAGACTGAGCATCTGGACTGGTCCCGTCTGTTGGAGAAGGATTCAACAACGGCATGAAATGGCTGTGGTCGGTGATGCCGGTGGAGAAAGACCCTGTGCTGAGAGATTGCTGGCTATACTGGAAATTCTCCAGGTTTGGCATCAGTGGAGATGGAGTGGAACTATAGGATGGAGATCTACCAACAGAACGAGCTGGAGAATGACTTGAGCTAGGACTAAATGGCTGGTAATATTGTTCTGGGGTCCTCACTGACGCATCAGTCTGGCAATAGGTCTGGCCTGGCTGGTTATAATGTTGGTACTTAGCTAGGTTTTGATACCCTTGGAAAGGTGGCTGTTGCTGCTGCTGCTGCTGCTGCTGCTGTTGTTGCTGCTGCTGTTGCTGCTGCTGCTGCTGGTCATAGCTAATTCTGTTTGCCTGGTAGCCATGCAAGTTCTGTACGCGCTGCCCAGATGCAAGGTTAGCCGCACCTCCAAGGGGCCGCTCGTGCGGCTGGCTGGAGGGCGCGGTGCAGCTTTTATATGAGTGAGCCGCCTGGCTCCCTCCTGAGACGGAGGAGTATGTCGAAGATGCTGGGAACTGGGACTGCGAGTGCTGGGTAAAGTGGCCGGTCTGGGAAAAGGACATGGGGGACGAGACGTCATTTTGGATCTTCTGCCTTTGGAGCTTGGGGTACGGCAAAGCAGGTGGCTGGGGCGGTGGCTGCTGGAGGTGCAGGGAATGTGTTCGGAACGGAAGCTGAGCTGCTTGCTCATGGTACTGCCTGCTGCCGGTGGGAGCTGGGCTCTTTTTCATCAAGTTTTCCTCATACTTGGCCACTCCTCCGGCTAAGGATGGTTGCTGAGCTGCCCAGGTCTGCAGGCTCTCTTCCCCAGTATAGCGGGCTGGGTATGGGCTGTTCTCTTGGACTGTGTAGTTTGAAAAGGCTGGCCGGCCTTGGAGCTGCTGGCTGGGCAATTGCTTATTCCCCCTGTGATATTTCTCCACGGTGCTGTTCTCGTACCCTGGGTAAGGCAGCTGCTGCTGACTGTAGTACTCTTTCGCCACCAGCCTCTGACGCTCGCAGTTCGGCCCTGCCTGACTTTGATGCCTGTAATTCTCCAGGCGTGATGTATCTTGTGAAGTCTGCTGGTAGTTCTGCTGGTTGCCATGGAAACCACACCTTTCTCGAAAGGACTGCATGGCTCGGGCTTGTTATCTGTGAAGAGAGAGAGAGAGACGAGAGGATTCAAATGAGCCATTTTCTTTTACCTTGGGCTACGGGGTTATTTTGTTGCTTGTTTATTTAAAAGCCGGTGCGAGATTTCGGAGATTTGTGACTGTATTGCGGCTGTTGTTTTGCAATGCAGGCCTCCCGACTGTGCGCTACAGTCAGAACCCCCCCTCCTTCCCCCTCTAGCCTTTAAAGGAAAAAAACAAAAAACTAAAAATACAATGACAGTTCCTTTCCCCCCACCTCTCTCCCTTACCAGCTGCAGTCAATTGACACCCTTTGGTTCAGGAACACTGAGCCTGTCCTGCCAGCCTCAGCATCCTTGTAGACTCAGATCTGCCAAGGACGGCAACCAATGCAGGTGGTGTCTGGATGGGGCTTGAATGGTGTTAGGTTGCTCAGTGTTTCACACACCTGTTTTCTCATCCCTCTCTGCCCCTCGACTGCTGGAAATCACTTAGCAAAACGATCCTCCCTCCTTTCCTCACACCCTCCCTTGGGATTTCAGGATCCTGTAATCCAGTTACAATGCCTCTTTTTTTTTTAAATTATTAATCATGATTGTTGTTATTATTTGACCTATCTGCAGTGAGGACAGAAACACAGGCTCTGCTATGGAAAGTCACGGCCACTTCCTAGTCCTGCTTCTCTCCCCTCCAGACATTTCCCCTTCCCCCAGCCATAACCTCCTCAATTGGTGTGATGCCATCTGGACTCTGTCTGCCCCTTGACGCAGATGTCGATTAGAAGCGGAGCGAGGCACGGCCATCATAAAACACCCCTAGCGCCTTCCCCCAAATTGGTCAGGACACGGGCAGTGCCTGCCTCGCATCTTCCATCTTCTAGGGGTAGATGAACAGATACCGGGGGGGAGGGAAGCGAGACAATGCGTGCTAATGAAAGGTACATCAGCATGGACATTACAGGCTCGATTCTGGGAGGAGCTAGGGCTTATGGACATAGAGGGGGTATCACGCATCAAAAGGATCAGGCCCCACCAGTGACTTGAGTTTGCTAGAGGTGGCCCTGGGCGAGGATTTACTAATGGCTCATCCGGCGTTCACTGAGTAGCGACAGAATGGTGCTTGAAATCCCCTTGGTGAGAGAAACGGCTGCCTCTCCCACCCCGAGCCGCCCTGACAGCCTCTTTAGTGCCTGTGGGTGGGGCCAGGCACAGGTAAATTCCTATGCTGGTATTCGCATGCTGGATCCAGAGTACTGACTGATTTTGGCATGCGCCTTTCCTTTTTACTCCTTCAAGGGGAAGCTAACCAACTCAGCGGGATGTGACTGGACACGTCCCTCTAAGGCAGGGTCGCCATTACATTTCAAAACGGTCGCCAAATGTCTCCCCAGGTGGCTCTGCTTTCGCCATTACATTTCAAAACGGTCGCCAAATTTCTCCCCAGGTGGCTCTGCTTCGCTCCCTCCTCCCCCCGTTTTTGAATTGCTTTGGGTCACGAAGTCTTCCTGAATTGTCAAAATGGGTCCCCATCTGGAAAAGGTTAGGAACCGCTGCTCTAAGGGGATGCGGCCACAGCACAGTGAACCCGGATTCTTACCTGGGGTTTCAGCCCCAACTGCCCACAATCCGCACATTATCTGACCCAGGTTTGGAGGTGCTTTAAACCCAGGCAGCCTGATATGGCTGAGGGGACCGGGAGAGGCTCTGGTTTAACACACGCACTCTGCATCAAGGATGCATGTGGGACTGATAGTCCTCCAATGCCTTCCCACAAGTCCCCTCAAATATGTGGGACTGATAGTCCTCCAATGCCTTCCTACAAGTCCCCTCAAAGGAGGGGACCAGTTCTCCCACAACTGGCAGAAGTAGATTGGGCGTATCCCAGAGTTCTTTCCCAGACACACATACACGGCTGAGTGAAGAGACACCAGGGGTGCAGGGCCATGGGGCTGCTCATCCCACCCAGGCTAGGCTAGCTCCGGGGTTAGATACCGGAGCTAACTGTGCAGTGAAGGCGTTGCCTACAAGGGGTGAGAAAGAGCTTGTTTTACAGGTGTGCCCCCAGAGGTGAAAGGAGGAGGAGACAGAAAGAAGGAATGGCTTAGCCGTGTGTAAATGAGAAGTCCTCCAAAAGCCCAAAAGGGGGCAGGAATGGGGGGGGGGGGAGGTGCTGGCACTCAACTGCCTTAACAATAAGATGATATTCCCATTCTTGTTGATTTTCTGGCTTGGGCGGCCCACAGCTTGGCTATCCAGCCTGCTTTGCCCACCAGGGACAGTAACAGAAGGGGCCAGATCCTATGTTCCCTCTAATTTTTTTGCCAACCATGTGTGGAATAAATTTTGTGATGTGCACCAAGGCCGGTGCAGATGCGCACCACCAGCAGAAATGCGTGCTGCTGGCTAGGAGCGCTGGGCTAAACAGCTGGGCAACATTTGCATCTTTCCTGAGTGGCTGCCCAAGTGCTCAGCTTACAGGGAACACTGGCCAGTGCTCCAGCCTGTTTGGCCCACAAAGCGTGGTGACAGAAGGGGCCAGTGCCCGACCCTAGAAGCTGGTGGGAGGCACACCATAAGGCCAGGCCTGGTTCCTCTTCAAAATCATACCACTCCCCTTCTTGGTGGAGCAGTCCCTCCCGCTCCCTTCTGTCCTCTCTCTGTGTTTATTAAGGAAATGACTTTAATACAGGGAACGGACTCTTGCCCTACTTCCCCACTTCGATTCCAGCTCTGTCTGGTGCGTCTACCACATTACGCCAGACGCCTGCTGCGAGAGGCAAGCCAGAGCTCTGCACAGAGGCAGGATTTTCTCTCTCTCTCTGTTTTTTTACACGGGCATCTTTCTCTCCATGCAGATCCAAGCCCTCACCTGCTCCTGTCCCTAAAGATTTCAGGCTGGCTGTTAAAAACATACCACCCCCATGCACACCCCCGACACATGCAAAACACATACAAACGTGCTCATGCGCCCCTCCCCCTGTGTGCAGTCAGACACGTGTGCACGGCCAAACGTGCGCGCATCCAGACTCACAATTTCATAACAAGCACGGATACAAATCCCCATTACAACTGCTCCAGCATGGCAGTGTGCAGCGCATGAAGCATGGTTACCCCCGCATCAAAGGTCCCCATGTTCTGTGCGGCGCCATCCAGGAAAGGTTGCACCACCCTCATTCTACTGCACCGGGGCAGCATATTTACGAGGCCAGAACATGCAAAGCTCGGCGTGGCTCTAAATGAGGCTGCCTGCACCTTTGTCTGTAGCGTCTTGTCTATCTGCACAAATTACATTTCTGCTTTTATTAGTCCCAGATTGCTCTCGTTTCTCGTCATTCACATTTTAGCACCTTTTATTTATTTATTTAGAAACCCTAAGCCTCTGAAATACACGACCAAAAAGCGTTATTAAAAGCTACTAATAAAGGTGGCATTGCTAATTTCCCCTTGCTACCTCCCCCCGCACCTCCTTATTCTACTCCCCCTCCCCTTTAATGGAATGCTGGCTCCGCTTAATCGAGCTGCTCTGTATTACAGCTGGATTTCCCAATACGCACAAGCAGCTGGATGCGGTTAAAGCATACATCTCGGAGAAAAGACAGCTTGATTTAAAATACGGTGAACCTTGTGCTAAAGTCACCCGACACAGAAATCGTGGCTTAAAATTCCCCTGTCCCACCAAAAGGGCTGGGGAAGAGGAAGGAATCAGGGAACAAAAGAACACAAATGAAAGAGCGGTCCTAGGGGCACGGTAGGGGAGGGACTGGGGGAAAGGAGGGGGAGAAAATGACAGGGTGGAAAGGGCCCAAAAGCTACCGAAGGAAAGCGGGTTTGACAAATGAATGCAGCTTGAAAAAACATGGGGCTGTTGTTTTAATGGAAGACGCCTTGCTTTCCCTTTGATTATTAATTATTATTACTTTTCCAAATAGTCAAACCAACACCAGGCCAAGACAAGGATACCATTTGGGGGAGGAGGGGGGAGAGCCACGACATTCACACATAGAGAGGGGAAAACACAGGGGGAGCAATGTGGGAGGGAAGGATCCAACTGGAATCCAAGAGAGTTTGGGGTCACGGTGACATTTCCACTCAACTGATCCCCAGCTGGAAATGGATCCTTGCGTGGGGAAGGCTGTCTCTCTGGATCCGTCCCTTCCCCACCAACCTCTAAAAGCAATAGTCTGTGAAGCCCCTAGAGCCCGTGAGGAACGAGAAAGCCTGGAGCAGCCTAGCAGTGGGAACTGATTAGCAATGGGGAACGTGACGATTGCCGACAGCAGCCGCCTCCTGACAATAGCGCCTCCAACAACTGATGGCTGTGACTATCTGCGCATCCCGGGCTGTGGGCTCTCCCCCACACATTGACCAGCACTGAGCATTCAAGGTCCTTGGATTTCCATGTGCTTACCCCACAGTGACCTCTCCCTCCTTCCATACTCGCTGAGCAGTATTAGGCCACACTGGTAGCAAAACAGGCGGTCCAGCGGTGGAGACAAGGCCAAGTTGTGCTAGAGGCTCCGTGCGAAAACATGGCTTTTTCTAAACCCAGCTGGGCCAAACCGCTCGGACTGTGCGAACCACGCGACCGCGCCAGTCTGCCGCAGCCCAAGTCAGAGAAAGGGGGTTGTTTCGCCTCTTAGTCAAGCCCTTTGAGACCGAGCAGCTGCAATTCAGGTCAGCATGCCCTGCTGCACAACAGCAGTGGAGAGGGTTGTGTCAGGGTGACACAAATACCTTAGTGCTTCATGCCATAAAGCACTCCCCCGGACTGAAAGAATACGACGGCAGAGATAAGTGGTAGCAGGAGGATACAGCGTTACAGGCAAGGGAGAAAGATGCTTTTAGAGACCTGAAAAGGGAGCCAGTGAGGCTGAAGTCCTAAAAGGTGGCTGTTGCAGAGACCCCAGTGAGGGGACAGGAAGGAGGCTGGAGCATAAGGAAGGCTGGAGCAGGAACAGGGCTGGACAGGGAGTGGGGACTGTGACGCTGGCTAGAACAAAACCAGAGAAGGTTTTTAAAA